TCATAAAAGATATATATAAACATATATCTTCATTCGCCCGAAGGCACTACATCTCCCAGCCAAAGCCAATATAAATATCTTCTAGCCGAAGCCACCAACCTACACCCGGCCAAAGCCAATATAAATATCTTCCACTCGTAGGCACCATCCAAACGCCCAGCCATAGCCAATATATATCTTATGCCCGTGAGCGCCAACCAAATGCCCGGCCATAGCCAATATAAATATCTTCCACCCGTAGGCACCAATCAAACGCCCTGCCGAAGCCAATATAAATATCAATCGCCCGTAGGCTCCTACAGCACCCGACCGAAGCCAATATAATTATCAATCGCCTATAGGCTCCTACAACACCCGACCAAAGCCAATATAAAAGTATCATTCACCCGTAGGCAAGACATTCGCCTATAGGCAGGACATTCGCCCGTAGGCAAATCGTATGAATAACCACTAAGTAAGTACATAAAACACTAGCATAATATTTCTAATATATATATATATATCATAATCGGAGTTCAGTAGCTAAAATGTCATATCGTAAAATCACATTCACAAGTATGTATATAGTCATCAATCATATACCACAAGGAACGTAAAGTCAATAAAGCATGATAATTCATTAATCGTGAAACCAATTTACTCATAAATGTTTCATAAAATGTAACCAATAAATCATGCTTTTCATGTATCCATTTCTAATGGTAAAATATGTACTTTTGAAGGGGGTCCATTCACAGATACTTCGCCGTTGAAAAGCCGTGCAACCTAGCGAAGACGGAAATGCCATAAACAATTGCACCTAAGCACATAAAGGTACCAATTACTAAAAGTCTATCATAACTATTGAATTTGGGAAAATGGACATCGGAAACAAATTCAGGACGTTAAATTACCCTAAGGGGGGTCAGGGTCTAGGTCGCAAGGGTTGGGCCAGTTCTGGGTTGGGTTGGTTTTTGGGCTTGGGTCGAGTAATAACTAGGTTTGGATCTGAGGGTTTTGGGCCTGAGATTATGGGCTAAGTTCCATGGCCCAAAGGCCTGGTTTGGGTTTTAGGTTAGAGGGTTTAGGGCTGGGTTCGGATGGGGTATTGGGCTTGGTGGCCCAGCCCAAAAGTTTGGGTTGGTGGGTCTTGGTTTCCGGGTTTGGGTCGTTTTGACCCGATTTTCAAACCAACTTCATGGAGACGAAAGCAGGAGCTTCCCAATCTCCGGTCAGCCGTGGCCGAGAATTGGCCGGGAAGTCATGGCATTCTTCGCCATAATCTGGGGAGGTTTCCGCCGAGTAGTTTTCAAGTTAAACCTTCACCAAGTACGAATAAATACGTTTTAGAAATCAAAGAAAACATCCAGAGATAGACAAAAGGGGTCCGAGACTCACCCAATCGAAGGTGGTCACACTCGCCGGATCTCCCCCCGATCTCTCACTAGTTACCAACGTGCAACAGTCACTTTGTACTTGCAGAGGAATGAGAAGAACGAGAGAGATAAGGAGCTCCAGGGGGGGCGAGGGAGATCAAACTGAGAAAGGGAGAAAGAGGGAAGGTTAAAGCTGAGTGTGCTCTCGGGAATAAGGGGGTGACAGAATGAGGGAGCTGAGGGAAGAGAGGGATCCGAGAGGTATAGGGTGGGGAAAAGGTGGCACGTGGCAAAAAGGATGGGGTTGAGTAGGAAACGGGTCCCTCGATGTTCCGTAATATTCGGGACGGGTTGTTACATTCATTCAATCAACACATGCAATTTACTAGCAGACCTAATTAAGAATTTTTGGAGTAATGAGTCCAATTAATCGGCATTTTGAATTGGTGGTCACATAGACAAGTGCCATGTCTCAATCATATATGCTTCTTACCTAACATACATGATTCCTTGGGATTGAATCACATTTGGCAGTCCTTGTTGTTTATTATCCATATGTGGTAGGGAAGAGTTTCGCGAGAAATCTCTCAGAGGATTTTTGTTACGGAGGATGACAAACCCATGTGGTTGCTCACAAGCTAGTGTGTCCCTCGTTGTTTACCGTCTCAGAGCCTCTTCACCAATCATTATATCTACCTAATGATTTTCTGCACTCTTTTCGTCTATACCAAGTTCATCCTGAACAACAAATAATCTTCACCTTCCTAATAAGCATCAAACTTTCTCTGTGTTTTCCAAGTCCTTCAAAATCTTTTGCTTCTTCTTTTGCCCTCTTGAGAATATAGAGTCATGGGTTTCCTTTTGCCTCGAATTGTTTACCGCCAAGAGAACTTTGATTCCCTCTTGAGAATATAAAGCGACAATTCCCTGCAGTGAAGACACATTCCTTCGTCTCACTTCTCGCTTGAGTGTATGAGTGAACGGGATCCGATCATCCAAAAAAGGCAAAGCCTCATTTTAGAACTCACTCAAGTGTGGAGCCCAAGAAGAATTTTGATACGGTCGTATCCAAAGAATCCTCAGTTCAGAAAACATCGAAATTGGATAAAGAAAAGGCCACAATTGAGCATCCAATGAAATGACACAATGTGGGTTGAGCAGACAGAAAAAGTTATCAACATGACAAATGATGATATCATGAACATTTGGTCCAAACAACACAGGTCCAATCTTAATGCTAAGGCAGTCAAGTTTTGTCTTTTATCCTGTATATGTAGACTCCATTTCCACTCCGAAACATATGAGGAAGTATTTAAATGTATTGGAAAATTTTGAAAGCTAGCCACATTTTGTATCACGAAAAGATTTTTAGCCTACCTATTGTTATTCTTACAAATTTAACTAATAATTAATGTAAAAGTTCTAATACACCCTTAAGTTAAAACACTAATACCCTCCCCATCCCTTCTCCCAAATCTTCAGGAGGAAAAGAATCATTGCCGACTATGTAATGGCATCGTTTTGTGTGAGCCCTGGATTCCAAATGGATCGGGCATTCCTACGCTCAGAAATTAAAGTTCAGTGGTTTCAGCATTATCATCACACTTAAGAGCAGTAACAACAATGACGATGATAATAAAGTTTATGTGGCAAAAGAAGAATTCCGGTGATTGAGGTATGTCTATATCTCGCCAATGGGGATACATCAATGGTGGATGCTGCAGGTGATTCGAAATGCATCCATAACTGCAGCAGCAGCGGCACCCGCCAAGCTGACTGAGGTGGGGTGTCCCATTGATGACGTTTCTCCATACATACAAGGAGGGGCGGCTGCCCCTTCAGTCGCCGGAAATTGAGAATGAGGATTTCACCCCTCTGGTCCTCTGAACTGCCACTGAAATCTGCTTCGCTACTTCTACATTTTATGCTTCACTACTTCTTCTACATTTTATTTTTTTAAATACCTAGGCCAAAACGAAGTTGGGATAAAAAAGACGTAGAGCGACGTCATGAAGGAGGGCTACAGTAAGGCTGTCGTTATTCAACAGTCTAGTAAGTTGTTTAATAGTATGAAGGAATTGTGTGTGCATAGAAGTTTCAAGTCCTGTGAGGCTCTATTTAGGGCCATTATGCGCCACAACCTGTATATGATGGCCAAGAGGTATTTTACTGAAATGTTGAGTGAGAGAATAGAGCACAATAGACATACTTGTAAATTATATGAGTCACTCGGTCATGCCAGCAAGGTGTTTAACGAAACACCCCACTTAACTGTCTCTTTCTTGAATGCCACGCTTAGGAGGTACTGTAGTGATAGTTGATAGGAATATACCTTGTATCTCTTCTATAACATGATATCTGAGTCAAGAGAATGATGCAAAACCCAATAATTTCATCATTTGTGAGGTTAAAGCACTAACATATGAGAAAATAATGCATGGGCTTGTGAAGAAACATGACAAGGTTGCATTGAATATGTTTGTGGGTTATATGTTGTTGAATTGTATTCCATATGCGGATAAATGGGCAAGGCTATGAAAGCGTTTGACGAGTTTTCGCAACTAAATGTGTTTTTATGGAGCGCGACAAAATGAAGGCAAAAGCTTCTACCTTTTTATATTTTGCCCCTCCACCAGCAATTCTTGCCTTCGCCACTGATCTTCATTGCACGGGATTGTAATAGCACCCATGAGATAATCATACCCGAATTCTTCTTCAGCTAGACTTAAAAATTCTGATAGCACCCATGAGATGATCATACCCGAATTCTTCTTCAGCTGGACTTATAAATTCTTGGAATGAAGGTTGGTTCAAGTATGATACCGGAATCACATACCGCTTCTTTTGGCCCTCCCCAACGTACAGCCAAAACAGCCTTTAGGAACATAAAAGGCCATTGAAGGAACTTGGTTTTTCTTAACATAAACGATGCCAGGCAATCGGAAACCCATTGTTTTAAATTTCTATATTAGAAAACTAATGGGGATCTCAATTAACTTATGAAAAAAGAGAGCTTAGAGATGCTTGGGAGTTGGGCATTAGAAGATTGTGTTGCTTTGCTCCTTAGTCTTGTCATATGTAAGTATATATGGATAAATTGGTATATGCTAAAAGCCATCCAAGGCACCAGCATGGACAAATGAAGAGAGACAATAATTCATTCAAAATCACATGGACTTGTCTATTAAAACCAAAATAACTAAAATCTTTTGGGAGGGATATTACCCTAAAAAATCAGGGACATACTTGAGACAGGCATTTTATTCTGCAGGTGACCAATTCAACATGCATTTGTGAATGAAGTACTCTTTCATAGCTCCAAGATTTCTATACCACTTGCTATCTTTGTTTCTTTTATTTCATGTCCAAACTGATGATAAGACGATCGACGTGTCGGAAAATCTATAGTAGTTGGTGCGACTGGTCCATCAATAAATGGAGTGGGGATTTGCAAGACATAAGCATTTGAGCAAAATCCACATGGCTTTGTCATTCAATTCATCAACAAGACTCGTTGGTAGTGATTGAGACTTCATATTGGTTGATTTGCTCCACATATTTTTCCTAATTGCTTGATGATATTTGGAAGACAAAACCATATGATCACTCATCAGCCCTTTTCCCATCTATACCCCATTCAGGTTGTCTGTGTTTGCACCATATATTTCTTTCAAGAGAAGAATCCTACCCGACCATTCAAGTATATATACCCATATGACTGGCTCGTTTTATAACCACGAAATACAAGTCTACAAACTCTCAAATCTAAAACATCTCAATTACTATAGTTTTCCTTGTTCTGCAAGTTCTTTGAGATTTTCTTCTACTTTTTTGTTTTTTTTTTTTTGGTAAACATTTTCTTCTTTTGATCTTTGAGATTTTCTTCTACTTTTGATCTTGAGATTTACAACAATGGGTTTCCGCCTTCCAGCTGTAATTCCTGCGAAGAAACTTCTTCGACGATCTTTTTCAAATACAACAAGAGGAGCTTCAAATTTAGCAGATGTCCCAAAAGGTTATTTTGCAGTTTATGTTGGTGAGAGATCAAAGCAGAGATTTGTAATTCCAGTATCATTCCTTAATGAGCAAGAATTTCAAGACTTGCTAAATGAGGCTGAAGAAGAATTCGGGTTTGATCATCCAATGGGTGGTCTAACAATTCCCTGCAGACAAGATGCCTTCCTTGATCTCACTTCTCGCTTGAATGGTTTGTGAGATTACATAAGGAAAGTCTCCATATTACAGGAAATTAACTGGTTGGAAGAATTTTGTAATGTTGACAATACATTCTGTAACTATTTTTTTCATTGGGGAGTGAATCAAATGTCTCCATGAATTATGTAAAAATCTAGCAACTTTTAATTGGATGCTTATATTTCTTTTGCTCATCTTCGATCGTTTATCCATTATCCATACTATACACAGCTCTGTTTCCACATACTGGCCGCTTACAACAATTTTACCGACTGTTATCTTTACAGCTCTGTATCCACATACTGGCGGCTTACAAATTTTATTTAAATTCATTTAACCTCTCTTTACACCCAACTTACTATTTACACCCATATTATTTTTAATTAAATTATCAATATCTCTTTAAACCCAAATTTACTATCTAAACTGCCCTTACAAACCCAATTCAATTTGTAAATTTATCTTTTACACCCATATGAAAAATAAAAAAACCAAAAAATCAAAGCATTCTCTTCTCCGATGTTCTCTCCTTCCAACAGTTACTTTTGATGGAGTCTCCATCACCCTTTATAGCGTTGCTCTCTCAACTTAGTTCGTATTTGTCGGGACTTGATAGTATTGGTCAATTTTCTCATTAGATTTGTTGAGAGGAGTCCTTGAATTGCTACTTAATCATTCGTTTCACTACAAGAGCTAGTTTCTAATATAATTAATTGTAGCACAATGCATGTTCTTATTTGACATATCTTGGGTAGAATTTAAAGACTTAAGTTGTTAAAGATGTTTTTGAAATTAGGCTCTCACGTGCATCATATGTGCTGCATACAAGTTTATGTTCCCATGTTAACAATTTGAGCTCGCATTAAACTTTATTAAAATTTTTATTTGTTTCTTCCCTCAAATTTGTCCAATTTTTAAGGGATTGAATATGATGAGTTTGCATGTACCCCACACCCCTCCACTCTTCCTTTGTACAGAAAAGGAAGAGAAAACTCCTTCCCTTTCCCGTCCACTCCATGCATTTCCATTTTAGCCGGGTATAGGAGAAGGGGTAGTTGGTTTAGTATAGATTGTCAATAGTTCAAAATTACTATCCATCCGTACAAAAAGGCTTGTTTTTCACTATGAGAGTGTCTTATGATTTTTGTCATAATAGAACATAGGAGAATGATACGTGATGGTGATGGTTAGGTTTGATTATTGGGTGTGGGTTTATAATCATTTTTATTATTAGTTTTATCTTGAACTTTATGGTAATTATGCAATAAGGTAATAAAGTAATTTATATTTACAGTTTAAGTTGAGTGTAGAGAGAGGTAACATGGGTTCAAATAAAATTTCCATTTTACTAACTGTTATCTTTACCACGTTTTATCTGCCTCATTTCTGGTCTTTTGTTTACAAGCATCAAAAGGAAAATTTTATTTAAACTCATCTAACCTCTTTCTACACTCAACTTTAATTTTAAATGTTAATTGTCTATTTTACCCCATTGCATAGTTACTATTAAGTACAAAATGAAATTAATAATAAAAATCAAATTTATCAATAGACCCACATACTCTAATTAAACCCTAGCATCACCCTTTGTTTATCTTACGTTCATTCTGACTAAAACCCTAATAGCTTTATAGAGAAAAACAAGCTTTTCTATTGATGGATGGTATTTTGAAGTTTTTAATCCTCCAACTAAGGTATGACTCGATTTATGGATATTTTATTTGTTTGCTTCTTCTTTGGATTAAATTTCATAATTTTTATATTATATTGCATTTGTTTTTCTTTGCCGTCTATATGCGTCCCAAAACACCAATGCAAGGACTTTTGATTTGTACTGCAAAGACATAAAACTTGATTCTTGGTGCAAATAAAGATTGCTCAACCTTAACCACGAACTAGCGGGTGGCATGTCTTGCACCTTTTTTATTCGAAATAGCTCCAATTGTTTATTTGTTTATTAACATAGCAACAAAATATCCAGCCCTATGTCACCTCAAAGTTTCTTAAAAAGTACATGAAAATGCTCAATTTAAAAAGGTTTGAACTGGAGCTTGCATAACATTCTCTTGGCAAATTCAAGTCTAAGGAATGATCTCTTGGATCCCAAGTCCATGGATGGGTTGTGGTAGCAGAAAGAAAATAAGCAGCCATGGAAATGCTAGTCCTATACGGCATATGCAATTATACAGGAGCAAAGGGCGCCTCTTTCAAAAAATAAAAAATAAAAAATAAAAATAAAAATAATAATAATAATAACATTCAATTAGAGATGTTATTTTATAAAGGAAATGGGTGTAAAGATAATTTTACATTTTGAATTCAGTTTGAGAAGGTAGTTTAGGTAATAAATTTAGGTTTAAAGAGATATTAATTCTTTAATAAAACAACAATATAGGTGAAGAGAGTAAGTTGGGTATAGAAATAGGTTAGATGAGTTCAAATAAAATTTCCCGCATCAAAATATTTGATGCTCGTGTGATGAATCGTTTGATTTAATCATAAAGGTTTTCAATACAACATATTTATAATCTATGGTACCTTCTATCTTGTACGTAAACTTTTCACTAACGAAATTTCTTTTCGAAAAAAAGGTTGACTATTATCAATCTTATGATACCTTCTATATTTTAACATCCAAAGCCTAGTAGCTTTTGCAGCTTAACTTAGGTGGTAATTGAGATCCTTTTCAGTTATAAATGTTTTGTTATAGAGAAGATCGAAGAGGAAACTGGAATAGTTGTTCTTCAGGTTCCGCTCTGATTGATTATTCCTTTAGGATCTCTTTTAGTTGCTCTGAGAATACCTAATAAACAGTTTTGGCCTAACATTATTTGAAAAACAAAATGAAAAATCATGGCTTCATTTTATGCCACAAAGGAGTGTACTTATTTCATAATAAAATACATGATTAGTTAATATTAGCTCATTGGAATACGATGCAAAGCATCGACCCCCGGACCAGAAGGCATAGCTAGGGTCCGACCTCTCTCAGAGACCACTATCAGTCCTTCCATTCATACTCACTAAATAGAGAAAAAAATTTGGAAGCATGAATAAATTTGTTTGTGAAATTTCACATGAGCAAATACACACGTGAAAAAAGTCATGAAATGGGACAAATTATGAAATAAGTTGAAGCTCCAAAAGCACCTCAAGAGCTCAATTGGGAGAAGAAAAAAAAAACCCACCATCTATCTACTTGTCTTGCTCTAAAGTGTTGAATTTCTCTGATGTATTGGTGTGAAGTGTTTTCTCTAAATTGTGATATTCCCCCGGGATTATATGTGTAAACCCCTTAATTTGGACAGTGTATAATGTTTCTTTACTTTACTATATGTCACAGCACATTTTGGACTGCTGTTTTCACTTCAATTAAGTATTTTGATCTGGGTATTGTTGTATGCTCTACATATTTTAGAGATTTGTATTTTTCAGCAAATAGTAAAAAAAATTAAAAAAAAAGAAGTGAAAATGAACAAGAGAAGGAAAAGTACACATTCTCAACTATCTTTGCAAAACAACTAATTACATTTGAGTAATGGGATTTATAATAAAATTGTTTATAACTCTCAAGTGGTTTGAAGTTGTAGCTCTTGAATTATGAAAAGCCTCTACCATCAGAGAAGATGTGATATTTTTCATCATTCAATGAATAATCAATCCAACAGTCAAGACCTACTTAATTGCTGGAATTGTGATAGCACCCACGGGATAACCATATCCAAATTCTAAATGTTGGTGTTAAGCCATCAGGTGGACCCAATGAAGCAACATCATCTCAAGCAAAATCACATGGACTTGCCTATATAACTACTTAGGCATTCAGGTTAAACCTAAAATAAATATCTGAATCCTTTTGGAAGATAAGTATACGCCTAAAAATTCAGAGACAGAAATGCAAGTTTTCGAAACCAGGTTCTAACTACTTACTTCTTGTTTTTCATGTCCAAACAAACAGAAGGCGATGTGGCGGACAATATCTCAAGTAGTTTGTGTGAGTGGTCTTGAGGCAATTGAATTGGGATTGGTAAGAGACATTAGCATTTGATCGAAGTTCACATGCGTCTGTCTTCCATTTCATCACCAAGACTCCTAATTGGTAGTGATTGACACTTCATATCTGCCTAACAAACAAAAATATGTGATGGAAAGAGAAATAGTAAATTTGATCCACATATTTTGCTCAAAGGCTTGATGGGAAGACAAAACCATGTGATCCCTCATGAGCTCTTGTTCCCTTCTATGCCCCATCCGGATTGTCTTCACCATATATTTTCTTCGGTAGAGGATATTCTACAAGGCTTGTCAACTATAAATACCATATGAATGCATTGGTTAATGACCACCAAATAATAAATCTACAACTTCTCAAGTATAGTTGTTCCACAAACTCCTTGTGATCTTCTTCAAGTTTTTATAAACTCGACTACTAGTCTTTACAATCACAATTTACAACAATGGGGTTCCGTCTTCCATCTGTAATTTCTGCCAAGAAACTTCTTCAGCGTTCTCTTTCAAATTCAAGTCAAGGAGCTTCAAATAATTTAGCTGATGTCCCAAAAGGTTATTTTCCAGTTTATGTTGGCGAGAGTGAGAAGCAGCGGTTTGTTGTTCCTATATCATTCCTCAACCAGCCTGCATTTCAAGACTTGCTAAGTGCGGCTGAAGAAGAATTCGGATTTGATCACCCAATGGGCGGTCTAACAATTCCCTGCAGACAAGATGCCTTCCTTGATCTTATTTCTAGCTTGAAAGCATTATGAGATTGGATAATGGAGAACAATTACATGAACTCTGTGATTGTCACACAATTTTGTGCAATGGAATATTTACACTTTTTTTTTTCGATTGAGGAGGGAGAATTATTGTCTCCGCAGATAGGTTATGCATGTAAACGGAGACTTTAGCAATATTCATAGCTTCTTTAATATATAAAAAAAAATTCCGCATCTACTTAATTCCGTTCGTTCACGTATCCATTATTCTGAGCATCAAAATGTTTCTTATTTGATCTGACGAATCAACTGATTTAAGGTTTGTCTAAAGGGATTTGCCCTATATGATCATTTGTAAAAAAATTCTTGCAAAATTAAGGTTTATATTAGGAGAAAATTTTTTATTAATAATCGGAGTAAGGTTACTTTTAGGAGGGATTTGCCTTTACATTATGAATCCTAAGATGCTTGTTGTCAAG